ATGGGGAAAAAAAACAAACAAGACACCTACTCCAGTTAGTGTTTTGTGAGGAGTTTGGCACAGCTGGAACAAAGGACACCAGCGTCCATTTACAGACTGGACTCGGGTTAGTCCAAGGACAGAGGAATTCTCAACAGATCCATGGGAAAGGCCAAAGGAAACATCCAGGAGGAAATGGAAATGAGCAGAGGAGTGCCTTAGCCCTGCAGGGCGGTTGTTGCAGGAAGGTAAGGGAACCAAACAGGCAAAGGCTTCCAAAAAGGAAATCGAGAACACGCCAGCGGTTGGTACAGAAAACAGAGAAGATGAAACGCAGCAACTCTGCTTGGCCGCTCTACCCGACAGGCGGTGGGGGGTTGTCTGAGGAGGAGAAAGGGAGTTTTATTTTAAATCCTTTCTTCTTTCTCCAGGCAGGCACAGTGTTTTTGAAGTTACAGACCTCTTGCTTCAGTCATAGGCAGGCCTCGATGACACAGCTGTGGAAGAATACAGCTGGTTGTGACGGGAGCGAGCAGCCCAGCGAAAGGCAAGGAGGGCGATGGGGAGATGGAATTCCAGGCACTGCGCTCCCACAGCCGCCTGCAGCACCCTGGGAGAGGAGATCTGTCCTCAGGAGTGACTGCTTTGTAAACAAACCCGCAGGGATGCGCTTTGCCACGCTCCTCACCCGAGCACCGCAGGCAGGGGTCCCCAAAGCGCTGTGAAAGGCAAAGCAGGACCCTCCGACCAAATCCTTCCTCTGACACCAGGCACCACATTACCTGAAACAAAGGGACCTTTCGCTGGCAGAGTCTCTGCACTGATCTAACCGAGCACGCTGGCAGGGGTGTGGGAAGGTACCGCAGGATGCTGTACGGGTGTCAGTCAAGGTGGCTTCTGGGCTTTGGCCTTTCTCTCTCGCAGGGTCCGTCCCCAGCTTTACCCAGGAGCCTTACAGAGAAGCCCAAGCCAGCATTTAAATAAAGTCTCGCTGCTCTGCAACTCTTCCTGCAACAGTTAGAGAGTCTCAGGGTCCAGACCTATCGCTCATTTCATTCCAAAGCAGCACAGAGTTCACTCCAACCCGGGGACACGACGAGTATTAACAGGTCTCCAAGGAAACTGAGCCCAGGTATCAGCCGAGTTGCTACGCCGGAATGTCAGTCACACGGTTATAATTCCAAATCTCATACATCAGGATCCTAAACTCTACAGCTCCCAAAGCTCGGCTGGTTTCTTAAACTTTTGAGTATCAGCAAGTCTCTGGATTTGTCAGCCACGTCCCCTCACAAGCCTACTACCGAGCATGAGTCAGGGAGGAAACACAAAAGCGGCCGCAAAACAGGGAGAACAGGGCAAGAGATCCAGGTGTAAGCATTTAACAACATCCAAATCGTGTTACACATGAAAATCCATTCAGAATCAAACACTCATTCTAGAAAGAGACGTCTGAGGCCAGCCTAAACACTGACGAGAAGCTGGTGGGAAGAAAAGTTATTTGGAAGGTCTGTCTGGAACATCTCCGAGACTCCACCGCGGGGCAGACTGGGAAAGGCATTGAACGGGTCTGTCAATTGTCGTGGTTTCTGTTCTGTAAAAGCTGCAGATCAACAAGCTCAAGTCCCTGCTCTGGACACAAGATAGTAGAGGATGAAGAAAACAACAATCAGTCCTTTTTTTTTACTTGCGGTTATCCCTCCCGGACCGCGTCATGGTGGAGAAACGCTTCACGCTGCCGGTTAGCAGGCCAGTCACGCTCAGAAAATCTGAATCCTGAATAGGAAAGAAGGTGAAGATGGAGGCATTGTAAACAGATGAAGATATCCCTGAACAATCTCCCACTTCCTGGCTAACACACATTTGCACAGGGAGCTGCGCAGCGGCTCCCGTCTCTCCGTGCCCATCGCGTCTCTCTCGAAGGTCCCTCCCCCCCTGTGCTCGGGCTCCGGGAACGGCACCATTCCCACCACGCTCAAAACAGGGAAGCAAAGGCAGAGGAAGGTCCCGTACAAACGTAAACCCAGCTGCCTCCCCGCTTTTAAAGCAGGGTCAGACTACCCGCTGCAGCCCTGTTCAGTGCCACCATGCAGCTTCTTCTGCCTGGAACAGCTGGTTAACGGCAACTCTGACAGTGAACGCTTCAGCCAAAGGGCACATCCCACGAGAAGCCGGTGCCCTTAATGCACACCGCAGCACAGACAAAGCGTTTCTTGCCATTAGTTCTATCTTTTTTTCAGCATGGGATAGCATGCATACGCAGCTCCCCCAGCACTGGCAAACGATTCTCAAATGAATACAGTTCAGGCATTTTCATTTTGACTCCTGGTCTGCTTTCATTATCCACAAACTACTCGGAGCTTCTGCTCGTGTTGCTCCTGAAATGCTTCAAAACCTTCTCTGGAACAGAAGCACAATTTCAAGCTGATTCAGGGCTTCTCCTTTAAGGTGTTTTGCCATTTCACCTTTTATTCTGATTCCCCACTCTCCCAATTTTCAGGCTGAGCAGATAGCGTACACCGTTATTATGTTTCCCAGGTGAGCTCTCACCTTTGACTCAACTGGTTTCAACACTACAATCATCTGTTCTCTCCCTTCCGCGCACCGGCTCTCCAGCATCCCGCCCGTGCAGAAAAGGCTGCCCAGCACCGCTGTTACGATGCTGATCTCCTCCTCAAACCTCCAGAACTACAAAGTCCTGACAGGGAGCCTGTGTTTCGGGTTTACAGTAAGTAACCCTGATGGATTTATACAAAAGTACCAGAAATCACAGGAGCAGCGAGGAACATCTCCCAGCACTGGCCGCAGGAGGCAGCTCTTTAATCCCAGTCAGGAGGGAATCTCCGCTGGGTTTCTGAAGCGTGCTGTCCTCCGTCAGTCCTTCCAGATGCTGGATACCAACCGTGTTGCCCGTTCGGACACAGCGACATTAGCAGCTGCCAAGGATCGTGTTTACGTATCACGAACTCCACGGGGAACGGGTTTAGTCCCATTCCCTGGTTTGCCGACCCAACCACTGGGATCTAACTTCGCTAACTCTGAACTGCTGTCAGACTTACACAGCTCAGGTAACCGCTGAGAGCCAGCTCAAAAACGTCACACTTTCACGTTTCATCGGTTCCTTACCATGCCATCCAGGTAACGGTTTTGTTCCTCAGCATCTTTGTCAATATCCAGAGCCAGCTGCACAGGATAAGGGAGGAAAGGGCTGTGAGTGACCTTGTAACGCAGAGAAAACCTCTAACGCACCCAGCGCTGGGAAAATCTGAAGTGAAGTTAGAAAAGTCAGCCACTGTGTCCCCATCTCTGACACAGGCAGACAGAGGCTTGTTTGGTACAGGAACAGAACAAGATTCTCATTGGGGTTTCAGGTTGTGGAACTTTTTCAGCTCAAAACAAAGCTCGACTGTCCACAGCTTTGTCTGTAGGAGGGCAGAGTCTTCCCTTCTACAAGGCAAGTCGCTGACTTCTGTTACGCTCTAAATCAAAGTATTTGATGGTAGTAGGAGCAAACTAGCTTTAAGAACACAATTTTTCAAAACTAATTTACCTGCCTTTTTACTGTCTCATTTTTCCCAAGGAGCTGCACTTAGCAATATCCCCCTGTGCAGCTTTTATGTTTCTCTCTGTGTCCAAAACTTCCCTAAGTGCTGTGGAAACCACATCATTCCCATTCGATGCCTCGCAAAGCCATCGACAGTTAAC